GCATTTTTTTTTTTATTACTATTCAGTGGGTGCCAAAAGGTCTGCCTCAATTGGATTGGGACAGAAAAACAAAATATAAAGTTTTGAAACCTCGAGGTTAAACTCTATGGAAACTTTGCGACAAAGTGAAACTGCACAGATCCTCTTCAACTTAGGCACGGCCATCGTAGTGCACGCGTGTACTGCGTCGTGACGCGACAAAAACTTATTTCCCGCAGACTTTCTTAATTAAGATGAATGATTACATAATCATGGAAGATAAAAAATACACAGACTTTTCTAACGCTTAATAAAAATTTGACTTCTTTCGATTCCTAGTTGTTGGAAATGAGACTGTTAGTAACCTTTTTCATTGATCGAAGGTTCGCTTATGGAAGAGTCACTTTTTTAATTAACCTGCAGCTTACTTAATGTACTATTTGATTCATCAATTTTTTTGTTATAGGCAAAGTAAAAACAACAAAAAACAAAAAACGGTTCATTCAAAGGTGACAGACAGACCGTGGCAACTGATAACATTATCACCGTGAACTTTATGCTCTTTAAGTTTTGACCTCAAGTGTTAATGTTGGGTTCATCGCTGTCTGCAGGCAATATTTTAATGTTTTCTTTTTCAGAAATGGATATTTAAGCTTCTCAATGAACGCATGACTTTAATGTTTTGCTCCAACGAGTTTACGCCGAGCTGAAAAACCAAGCATGTGAGTTAAGTTAGGATCTGGAAAACCTCAGTTAACAATAACATGGCTAGACATACTTGAAAAACAATGGCTATAGCTATTCCATTGTACAGCAAAGAAAATTTTAATAGTTTGCCCAGCAGGTGCTGGATGGGAAAGTGAAAAAGCTTCGTTTGGCTGGCCGTGGAAAGAGCCCAAACATGAGTAAAAAGAAATTATCCGATAGAATAAGAAACTCTAATAAAATTCTAAATGTTTTATAAAAAGAAGCATCAGATTCAGACGCTTGAACTGTTAAGCCGTTTTTCTATTTTTTTTGCAGCTCAGAGAACTGTCAAACACTGAGAAACCTGTTGTTTTTTTTCTCTAAAAGCGTGATGATTTTTACATGGTTTAAATAAATCATTTTTTAACTTCATTCATGCGTACGTGCTCCTTCTGCATAAGCTTTCTCGTGATTTTCTTTTCATGAATATTAATTAATCACATGTTTCTCTCGTGCAATTTTCTGTAAATTAGCACTTGCTGATGTTTTTCAAAGTCAACACAGATGGCACTGGCCGTATGGGCTGGAGCAATCTTGTTAATCTTTAAAAAATATTTATCCCATCATGTGATTATATAAACGAAATGACCGATCGATCGCTTTTACTACTTTTGAATCAATAAAAATTCTAGTACCAGACCTGACGTCTTAGCTTTACGATGAGTAGTTTGGCTATTTTTTTCCATAATTTTAGCGTACTATTTATCCTTTTTGGTTGGTCACGAAATTNTTGTTGTTGTTGTTGTTGTTAAGTCCGCGTTTTACTAGTCAGCGTTTTACTAGTCCGCGTTTTACTAGTCCGCGTTTTGCTAGTCAGCGTTTTACTAGTCCGCGTTTTATTAGTCCGCGTTTTACTAGTCCGCGTTTTACTAGTCCGCGTTTTACTAGTCCAGTCCAGTCCAGTCTAGTCCACGAAATACCATATGCCTTTGACCTAATCTTAAATGTAGTTTCCATAACTTTGCATACGCCGGTTCATATAGAAACCACGGTAGGTAATCTTCCACTCTTCTTTAAGCCGCAGACCGGCTCTTCGCTCATTATACGTCATTACGCTGGACTGGTAGTACTAAGGAGAACTGAAAGGAGACCCCAAGTTTTCAGAGTCCATACCAAGGCGAAAAAGGGACACGGCTTCTTCAGCCTTCTTTCCTATTTCCTTGCAAACTACTAGAGCACGTTCACGGTACTCGAAAGCTCTTCGAAAATTTCCAATTGCAAAATAGGCGGTACCGAGATTGCCCAAACAGAGTCCCTCATTAGCCCTGTCGCCCGCTTCTTTGAAAATTCCTAATGCAAGTTGTCGGTACTCGATAGCTTTTATAAAATCTGCTTAAACTCGATAAGTATTACCGAGATTGCCAGAACTGCTTCCCTCTCTAGCCTCGTCGCCCACTTCTTTGAAAATTTCAAATACAAGGTGTAGGTACTCGACAGCTTTTCTAAAATTTCCTAACCTCTAATAAGTAGCACCGAGACTGCAATAACTGCTTCCCCCTCCAGACTTGTCGCCCACTTCTTTTCTAATTACTAATGCAAGTTGTTGGTACTCGATAGCTTTTTTAAAATTTCCTAACCCGTAATAGGCATTACCGATATTGCCATAACTGTTTCCTTCTCCAGCCTTATCGTCCACTTCTTTAAAAATTTCTAATGCAAGTTGTTGGTACTCGATAGCTTTTATAAAATTTCCTAACTTGTCATAGGCATTACCGAGATTGCAATAACTGTTTCCCTCTCCAGCCTTGTCTCCCAGTTTTTTGAAAATTCCTAA